GTCGAAAATATGGTGTAATATTACTTGCTAAAAAGGACAAAATTATCATTAATACAATGCATGAACTGACATTACGCTGCTTTTACTGCATTTGTTTATTTATGTGGTCATAAAAATTACATGAAATTTTCGACATGATTGTAGTGCATTCACTTTGATGTGATATCAAAATTATTTTTTTGCTGTGAATTTGAACTGTTTAAATTTTCTTTGCTGTTGCAAGAAGAAAATAGATAAATTTTGAGTGGAAATAGAAATCGTTTATTTTTTCACCAATCAATAAAAAAAAACAGTAAACGGCGCCGATGGTGTGATTGCCTCTTACCCCAAAAGGCCTGGGTTCAATCCCAGTCAGCGTTGTAAGCCGTTGGTCCCCGGTTCATGAGTTGATGGGTATATAGGTAGGGTCCAGGCGTGGGAGCCAGTGAACTTGGCGGTATTGCCAGGTCGCTGGTGGTGGGCAAGGCCCCGGGCCCAGATGGGATCCCGGTTGTGGCTCTGAGGGCGGCCGTTGCGGAAAATCCAGACATGTTCCGTTCTGTTTTTCAGACTTGTCTGGACGTAGGCGTCTTCCCAGACGCGTGGAAGCGGCAGAAGCTGGTGCTGCTTCCGAAGCCAGGAAAACCCCCTGGGGACCCGTCAGCATACAGACCCATCTGTTTGCTGGACACCACTGGGAAACTGCTTGAGAGGGTCATCCTCAACAGGCTGTCGGCCTACACCGAAGGTGTAGACGGCCTGTCAAGCAGCCAGTACGGGTTCCGAAAGGGCAGATCCAAGGTGGACGCCATCCGCGACGTCATCCAGACGGCAGAGGTGGTCCATCGGAAACAAAGGGGCATTCGCTACTGCGCGGTGCTAACCTTAGACGTGAAGAACGCGTTCAACAGCGCGTGCTGGGGGGCGATAGCCCACTCGCTACACCAGCTCCAAATTCCCGGAGGGCTGTATAAGATTCTGGAAAGCTACTTCCAGAATCGTGTGTTGACTGTTCTGTGTCGTAGAAGATGGCGAAAAATGCGTTAGAGTCACCGCAGGTGTGCCACAAGGCTCCATCCTGGGCCCGGTGTTATGGAACGTCATGTACGATGGACTGTTGAGGATAAAATTCCCGGTAGGCGTGAAAATTGTAGGTTTTGCCGACGATGTCACGCTGGTAGTCTGCGGGGAATCCCTCGTGGAGGTAGAGCTGACAGCGGCCCACTGCGTCAGGCTTGTGGAGGAATGGATGAGAACCAGGAAACTGGAGCTCGCCCATCACAAGACGGAAGTGGTCGTAGTCAACAATCGCATGTCAGTACAGCATGCGACGTTGACAGTCGGCGGAAGCACAATTAGGTCTGTGCGCTCTCTAAAACTCTTAGGGGTCATGCTCGACGATAAGCTCAGCTTCGGCTGCCACGTCGAGTACGCCTGCAAGAGAGCGTCTATGGCTATGGGGGCATTATCCCGTATGATGTCAAACAGCTCGGCAGTGAACAACATTTATTTCATAGAGACTTAAATACATGGAAAATATCGTAATTTGGAGTAAAAAATAATCAAAATTAAGATTAAAATACGGATAAATTGCAAAATCTCAGAGTATGAACTATTTTCAAGATTTTGGGAAATCGGATTGATATATTTGCAGTGTATAACTAGATTTCAAGCTTTTCGGACTTCATCACAGTCATCGACATATTTCCCAGATCCCAGACAATTCCTCAATTTTGTTGCTAAGGAATCCACTTTTGACTGACAAAGAGGCGCGCCTTTAGAGGGTGTTTCAATACTCCGAAGGGCATGAATAGCGGGACCTTTCAATTGGAGTCGGATCCTTGCGATAGATGCAAGAATGATAACTGTAAAAAAAAATCGACTACTTTATCATTCCTCAATAGTGATGGAGTAATACGACATGCACTAAACTAAGGACACGGGATATACTACAATAGATCAAATTACTGGTCGAAGTGGTGTTAGGTCCCGAACAGAGGAGAAAAAAACCGAACTTTTAATAAAATCCTACCCAAAAAAATATTTAACGATGTTAAAACTAAATTGAAATTGGACAATTTTTCATCACGGATGCATCTTAATGAAAATGTTGGTGTTAACTCGGAAGAAATATACAATCTCTATACAAACTTTCTTTCAAGAAATCTATAGCACATTTTCTGAAGGCGATCGTGATCGTGAATATTTTAATTTATTCCCAGAATTTTCTAGAGACATTAGTGTCAATCAAGTCATGGTGCAGGACATTAAGGAAGATGTCTCTAAAGGATCTGGGCCTGCAGGATCCCACCTGTTTTTATAAATTACTTACAGCTAAATCATGAAAAAGCTCCAAGCTCAGCAATTCCCTTTTTTTAATCTTTACTTTTTAACCACAGGACCGATTTTTGTATCACCCCTTTTGTCAGTGGTGGCAAGGGGGAAAACTTATCAAAACCCCTCATCAACGGATGAATTTGGTAAATGGGATGCTCGATCCGATTTGTAACTTCCTCAAAATTGACTTTTGCTCGCTATCTACTTTCTACATAAAAAGTTCACACTACCGCACTATAACCGAACTATAAACTCTATATTATCATCTCCTCGTATATCGTATAAAAATGTTCATTTTAAGTATGATATTGACGTTAACAATCTTCAAAAATATTAAGTTTTTAGTTTTGCTGATAAACTGCCATGAGCTTCCATTGTTCAAAACATAATATTTTGGAAAAATTGTAGCTGACAAACCACTACACCGATTATTTTTCACAAGTTAAAATAAGAGGTAATTAAATCTAGTTTTTTGGAAAAATATTAACATTGACATAAATCGCGGTTTTACATTGAGAAACATTGATTAGCACTATTTTCATTATTTTAATAGTCTCGGCAACAAAGTCACTATTATATTTTATATTTTTTCTAGAAAATTTGGAAATTTTTACACAATATAAAAAAATTAGCAATGTATGCAACTTTTCTAAGAGCAAAGCATTTGATCGCATTGACAAACTCATGCTACTATTCAAAAAACTGGAAATTGAGTCGTCTCCAAGACTCACATCTAGGTTCTCTTCTGTTCATATTATTTGTCGACCATGACATGCAGCTCTTTTTTGAAATAAGGAACAAAGAAGACATCGAGGTATTCCAGAAAGAAATACACATTTTCTACATTTGGTGTAGCTAAAACCTTTTGCAACTGAACTTACAAAAATGTGGTTCAATAGCTTTTAGTATAAAACGAAGCACTCCAGAGCAGTTGCAGGCCAACTAGAAAAAAAACACGTTTTTTGACTCGACCCTCCCCGAGTTGCCTGAAACTTAGAGTAATTGTGTAATTATTTTCAAAAGTTGATGTTCTACGGTTTTTGCCAATTTTAAAGTGTCTGTTGTTTAAATATTTCATTAGCTTAAATTTTTCATAAGCTTTTTTTTAATAGAAAATGTAATCATTGAATATACTTTTCAGATACTTGAGTTTTTAACAATTCTTGGAATTACTCAATTACTCAATAATACTTTAAAAATTACCGTTTTCTCTACAACTTTGTCCCATACATCATTTTGATCAGAAGTGACGTTTTCGTGCTACAATTTATTGAAAAATGACAAAGACGCCATTTTGAAACAAATACAAGATCCAGAACGGCTGAATTTTTCCAAAAATGTGAATGATTGCCCATAACATACAATAAGGTAAAATTTCATGCAAATCAAAAAAAAAAGGCAAGTTTTTCCGATTTGTCATTTGACGTGGAACTGCTCACCAGACATAACAATCGCTCTAGGAAATCAGCAAGTCACAACGTGTGATAGAATAAGGGATTTAGGAGTTATATTAGATTCCAAACTTACATTTATTGACCATTGGAATACAATCATCAACAGAGCAAATAGCATGCTTGGATTTATAAATCGTTTAAGTCATAGTTTTCTTGACCCTGACACATTAAAAACATTATACATTGCCTATGTAAGGTACATAGCAATACTTCAATTCTGTTCGTTAATTACGAACACACAGAAGTAATACAATGTTAACCAGGAGCTGTTTAGTCGAACCTTTTGGTATATAATTTTTTTAGATGTAAGACATAAAATGAAATTGGGTTCCTAAATTAAAAAAAAAATATCGGTTTTTATACTTCATCTGAAAGAGGTACGTTTTTTCGACAAAGACTTTCATCTTGATTTTTAAATCAAGATTTAAAGCTAAATAATGACTTCACTGTTCGACACTAAACTAACAAATCTAAAGCTCGCTCCCATACAAATTCCCACCGAGGGGCGCTAAGATGGTGATGTTTACTAATTTTATTGCATGTATTTAAATTAGTTCCAATGTACCAAAATTGATGAGTTTTTGGATCCTTTTTTATTGAGATTACGAATATGCATTTATATCAATACGCCTTGAGAACCCAATTATCATTGTAACAAAATGGTTTACTCTTGACAAAGAAAATAATGGCCATCGAAAAACTTCTTGTTTCTGCAACTCATACAAATTTCAAGGTTCGCAGACTTGAGAAATTTGGAGTTGATGCTTGCACATATAAAAAATGTGCTACTGAGCTAGGGGGGACATGGCCTCCCATGCCCTCCTCTGGCCACGTCTATACGAGCAGTGCACAGGCTAATTGGAGATAACCATCTCTAAACTTGTCGTTGAAACGTGATGTGTTTACTACGCCATCAAAACAGGAGAAAATATTTTGATTACAGATAATGATCACCGCATTGAGCGGGATGTTCAATCAACACTACTCCGACCGCCAGTGTCTACATAATGTAGTAGTTAGTTTTACACATCCGACAATGGCTGCATGAATAAATAAAGCCCAGTCGTTTGATCGTACACATTTCCGTATATCGTAGTTCAAAATATTTGAATTTGGTGATAAATATCCCGTCCCACTGAGACGAACACAAATCGAATCGGTTCGTCTAATATTTATATGCCAACATTAGTATTTACACCGAGCAATCAAATATAAAATCAAAAACAGCACCTTTGATGGTAGCAGCTCGCACTCGTCCTACTCGGTCTGGGATGAGAACACGCCACGGGAAAATGTTGATCTACTACGATCATCCATCAAAGCATTTTTCCCGACTATCGTGCTGCACTTTTTGCATTCCTCCACTTGTGCGAGAGAATCAATTTTTTTTAAACCTCTTCTTCTATCCATGCACCATTTCTTCTGCGATAATCTGTACCATTTTCGTGCTTTTCATTCTCTACGCACTCACATACCACCCACTTGGCTTCATTATTAACTCCACAGCGCGAAGAAAAGGAAGGTACTTTAATCAATGCAACGCAGGCCACAACAGCTATTTGGATGGAACCCTGCAAGTCAGGGCACGCGATGGCTTGCCGAGAAAAAACGCGCCAATCCCGCGAACTCACGCTGCGATGCTAAACACCGACGGAAAAATGCACAACCATAAATTTTGACGGTTGACTCTTGCCTTCATCTTCATCTCTTGATTGACGCTGATTCATACAATCACATCGTCGTCAACATTTTCAAATTTTTCCACAACGCCACATAAATTTCCCCATTTCATAATTTTCCGTGGATCGCCACTTTTCACATTTCATACCACAACATGTTAAACGACGGAAACTCGGGAAAAACCGTTGGCGAAGAAAAACAAACACAGAGACCGTTAATGGAGGAGTTGGGTGGTGATTGGGCGACAATTTTTCCACCCAATGTAGATTCCAATTCCCGCGCCCGCTTGGAAGAACGCGTAATAATATTATCCGACAATACCGAATCGTGTCCAAAATTTCGAACGTCTTTACCCTGTTCTCCACGAAACTGAACCGATGCTACCGAGTAGCGGAATACAACTGACTGAGCTGCGGCTGGCCCAAAATGAAATAAAAAAATACCGCACGGGTACCAACCAACACGGAAAAGGCTGAAAGCATGAGCTTTACGATGTGGCGTCGCAACGCCGTACGACGTTGTCGACCCTCCATACGACGCTCTTCTGGCTGGGGCGGTGAGATTCGTAGCGTCATGCTCCATGTGTGACGCCAAGAAGACTCAAGACGCTCGAGCAGACTTGAACCTGGGTCTTTCATCCACTCATCGAGGAATCCGAAAACGCGTGGAAATATATGCACATGAAAACAAATGTAATACGAATGAGCGTCGGTGTCTCTCGCCCGAGTTGGTTGGTAGGTATGTGGCATGTAGCTTGGTTTTGCCTGGTCACAAGTTGGTAGCGGCAGTGTCAAGATACAAACTTGCTGACAGTGGTGTGACATCCACCTCGCCTATGTGGAATATGAGCGACGAAGCGTGCCCGCCGTGGTCGGATTCAGTTTCAGTGTTGGTTGGAGAGTTATTTCTATTCGAGCACGTCAACCACCTTCGCACTTCGAAGTCAGATAAGCCGCGTCGAATTCCAAATCACAGACGCACTATATGTAGCGTTGTGTCTGAATTGTGCCTTCTCTATTGCTGATTGGCCTTGACGTGTGGAAGCGGTTTGATTTGGAAGATTCCAAAAACCATTTAGAATGAGTGATGAACATCAAACCGGAATCGTGCTAATGGGAAAATCTCACAAACTAATGGTTACATTTTCTTCCATCGGATTTGAAAACCCTTTGTGGGGGAAGTTGTTTTGAAAGTGCTTCGCGCGTGAAATGTATTCGCTGGCTCGGTGAATCAGACTTAACCATTGCTGCTGTGGCAAAATGTTACTTCGGATATCGATGGTCTCAACCTTGACTCTGAACGATTATGAGTAAAACGATTTCAGTGGCACGCAATAGCTCTAGTACAGATTATCTAAAGACGCATAACACTTTCTTCATATACGTATTAAGCTCCTTTCCACTTCTGACCATGACAGGAGCACGCCGATTTTGAATTCAAAGTGATGGGAGACCGTTGTTGAGCCAACAAAGTGATTCGAAGATGCATCATCAACGGTAGTCATGCTGCAAATTCGATAAATGTCGTACGTGTGAATCGCAGTGCTTCGCAGTAGAACAAGCTTTACCCGCTCCGAATTCCATGACACTTTGCGTAATTTGTCGATAACTATTAATAATAAACCAAGTTTGTGTTAGAATTCTGCCATTCTGAAAAGAGCCTAATTTTTCAAAATGTTTCAATATTGTTCAACCAATCTTAGCACGAAAACGGCTCATCTATTCGAAAAGATGTCTGAAGCAAAGTTGTATGAAACTGGATTGCCTTTTCATATAAAAAAACACTGTTAAAAATGATATGTCCATGATGGACATAAAAATTAAAAAAAAAACTGTTTAAAAGAAATGTGGTGGAGATGAACCGACCTGCGGCTTAAAATCTCCTAAATAAAGGAAATCATCAGTAGTCATCAAAAAGAAACGATCATGTTTCTGTTATGCTTATTTAAAAGCTAATCAAACATGCTAACTTTTCTTATAATGGACACAATGGCCACTTTTAAACTAAGCATAATCGTAGAAGATCTACTTTTAGTAAAATTTTCTAACTTTTTAATAGTGCAAAATGTATGTAATTTATGTATAGGAAAAGGTTTTATGGACTAACCCAAGTATCAATCCACCAGCCTTTTGGAATCCACTCTGATTTATAACAGTGCTGTGGTTGTAGGTGGTCCGGGTAGTCATTGACTACTTGGCACTAAAATCAATATAATAAATGCAATCAAGCTTTAGGAATAAATTTATTAAAACTTTATTCTGGAACACATTCACAAATTCCAGAACTTTAAAGATGGTTTAGAATAAGAAAGTTTATTTTAAAATACGTTAAAAATATAATATTTTTAGTAAAACAAAAACAACAACAGCACTTCCCGAGCAAAGTAGAATAACAACCCGATATCATCTAGATAAAAAGTCTTGTTATCCCAGATATCATGTTGTTTTCAGTTGTTATCGCATAACTTATTAAGTTATCAGCCTTGATCAATTTTGTTATCAGTTGTTATCATGAAAAATTCACTATATATTTATTAACGATGCAAGGTTAGTTCAAAATTTTAAATATTATTCGCATTGAAACAATAAAAAATAGTGCTTTTAATCCCTAATCATATTTCAGTTATCAGCGTGAGGCTTTGATAGCAAAATGATAGCATGATTTGAAATTTATGGAATAAATTTGTATGGCTTACAGAATTTGTTATCAAGATATTATCAATGATAACAAAATTAGTTATTTTTGTGATATCCAACGAGCAGTTTTTTGTTATCATTTTTGCTACGATGGCTGTTAATTCAACCATAATGATAACATATTCAGTTATAAAAAAGTGATAACCGGGTAATAGAACTTGTTATCAATTTGATATTTTACTTTGCTCGGGAACCTAATCGTTTTTAAGACATGACAATCAGTTTTAAAGAAACAGCGTTACAATCAAATCCATGAAATGGTAAAGATTAACAGTTACTTCATTTTATTAAGTCAAAGATCTCAAAATATTCAATGTCAATTATGGAGAAAAAAATTGTTTCAAGTTTGCATGAAAGGAAATGCTATGAATACAGGGAAACTTAATAAACAAGCTGCGGAAACATAAGGAATGTTCTTAAAACTTCTTGAAAATATGGGGAACTTTATGGAAGCCTTAAGAACTTCAAAGCAGTTAAATTAGAATAACAGAAGCTGCAGAAACTTTTAAGAAGATCTTGTAATTTCAGGAAAATTCAGAGACATTAACGTAAGTCAGAAAAAAATCAGAAATGCCTAGAGAATTTGAGAAAAACTGTGGAAACTTTTAAGAAGATCCAAGTACTTCAGAAAAGCTAGATCGAGAGATGTTTGGAGGATTTCAGAGATCTTAAGGGCAGTTCCTGTAACTGCAGGAAAGTCCCCAAACAATACATATGTTTTATAGCAGTTTATATAACTTTTGTGTGACTGATTTTTGTTGTAAAGAAGTTAACTCAACATAATTCTATGAATTTGTGTTACTTGGGTCAAGACTATTGGATGAGCTTAAAACAGTAGAAGTGTGAGATTAGCTAAATTCAGGACAACTCCATGTTTTTCAGGAAAAAAAAATACGAAACCCCTTAAGATGAGCCGAGAACTACGTAGAAGTATAGAAACCTTGTCAAAAGTTTAGAGGAATTATGAAAACTTCAGAAATATCTCGGGACCTTAACAGAGGTCCAGAAAACTTCAAAGTACTCAGGAGAGTTCCATTTATATCTCAGTAGAACCAAGATGTTGTCAAATTGAGTGCTTTAGGGAAGCTTCTCTGATCTGGACGAATCAGAGAACCAAAAAGAAGTTCAAATAATTTCAAAGAAATTGACGAAAGCTTACAGATTTAGGCAAATTCCTGAATCTTCAGCAAAGTTCCGAGACAATTTCTGCAACGTAAGGGAAGTTATATTAACATCAGGAAAATGTGAGAGTTTTTTAATGTTCCAAGAAATTCCAGAGCTCTTCAAAGAAATTTAAAAACTTTTAGACAGTTTCATGACATTCAGCAAATGCTTGCGTACAACAAGGATGATCAGATAGCTTCAGAGCAATTCCATTAAATCAGGGAAATTTGCAGAGACTTGCAAAAAGTTTCGAGGAATCTGAAAACTTCATAAGCGTCAGGAAATTATGAATATTTAGAGAACCTCAGAGATGCATAGAAATCTTCAGTGATCCCATGTTCAGAGAAATTCAGGGAAAATTAGTGATTTAAGATCCGTGAGCTTACAAAACTTTATAAAAAATATAGAAAATTAAGGGTAATTCAATTAACTTCAGAAAATTTTAGGTACTCGGTAGCAACGTGGTCAATATGAGAACTTCACTCCACGAATGTTTTATGAACATTAGGAAAATGTTAGAACACTTCAAAGAAGTTTCGTAAGCTCCAAAAATTCTGAAACAACAAGAAAGTTCCATGAATTAGGGAAAATTTGCTGGAAATTTTGAGAAGTGCCCAAATTTTTTGGGGATTTTTATTATTATTTCCATAGAACTCCAGAGATATATAATAAGAAAACGTTTGAGTTATTTACATAATTTCAGTGAAATTAACGGAAGCTTACACAAATAATTGTATTCATGGCAGTAGAACAATCTTTACGAAAACAGCAAAAACGGAAAAGAAGTTTTTTTAGAAATTCAAGAAAGAGCAGAGAACCACAGGAAAAATCCAGAAGCTTTAGAGAAATAACATAAATTAAAACAAAAAAGTTGCGGAAACTCCAGCGAATTGATTAACCAACAGGAGTTTTCTAGAATTCTAGGAAAACTACCGACACTTCACTGCCGTGAGATGAGAAATTGGCATAAGCACCACCATGTTCAATTTTCACTTTTCACCATATTCACGTCTTTTTTTTCGTTGATTTGTTTTGCATCGATCTTGGTTTCCGTACTAAGTACCATTGGACCATCAACTCATGGACCGGGGACCAACGGTTTTAATTCCCTTTATTGTCCTACGCCTCAGAAAATCCCGACGGCACCGACTGGGATTGAACCCAGGCCTTTTATAGTGAGAGGCAGTCACGCTTACCACTAGAACACCGGCACCGCTACACCCAAAAACACTTAACACTTGCACACAATTTGATGTTGAAGAAAAGTGGCAATGTGACGTTAGCCATACATTTTCAGATCAGTGAAAAATTATCACTGTTTACACATAAGTGGCGTCCGGCATATATAAGTGCTGAAAAACTTTCATATTTAAGCTTTGTTCAGATCACATTCAACAGGTCGAGGAATAATAACAAAAATTTTCCAATCATTGCGAGGTTAAACAAAAGTATCTGTTTCCTGAACGATTCTCTAAATGGATTTAAATTTGCC